CTACGAAAAAAAGAAATATAATTTATAAAAGAAATATAGAAATACAAATAAATAAAAATAATTTTCTCGAATAATAAAGGATGGTTTAAATCTTACATCAAAAGATAAATCTTTTTCAGAGATTTTTTTCGACTTCTAAAATGTGTAAAAAGCATTTTTAACATTAAGTATTTATCTTTTATATTTTGAATCATTCACATTTTTACTTCGACGCGAGTCCAAGTTTCGTTAAGTAATTTTAGACGTTCATATTTTTTACAATTCAAAAAATCATGAATATTCTAAATTTCGATATTCTAAAACGTGATTTGCGAGGATTCCAGTTTTGTCTCTTTCATGCTGTTTACTCACATTGTCGGTTCATGCACTTATTCGTTTATGGTAATAATATAGGCATACCCGCTGCGAAAAATTTTTTTTTTTACATTCTTATTTCGACGCGAATCCAAATTTTGTTAAGTAATTTTAGACGTTCACATTTTTTACAATTCAAAAAATCATGAATATTCTAAATTTCGATATTCTAAAACACGATTTGCGTGCGAGTCCAGTCTCTTTCATGCTGTTCACTCATATTGTCGTTTCATGCACTTATTCGCTCATGGTAATAATATAGGTATACCCGCTGTGAATAATTATTTTTTTCCCCTCGCTATATATGGACGTCCGTACCCCGGACGTACCAATTTAACTTCCCTTGCCGCTGTCGCTCACGGTCTTTCTTTACATTTTACCGATTTAAAGCGCCTTGATCTAACCGGCCATTATCCTGCACGATCTCTCGAGGGTCTCGCGCACGGTTCCTGAATTTTTAAGGTTCGAGGTAATCCCGGAGACAATGCACTCTCTTTCCGCTCGCTTTTTTTTTCCTCGTTATCTATACCCCCGCACTTATCTTACCTGACTGTTGCAAAACCGACCTTATCCGGCAATTTTTTCGTCGCGATGGGAATATTTTACCACTACTTCCTATTGGTTCACGTCTACGTCGCGGCGGAGAGGATTGGGGGTGAAGGGGGGGATCGGTGGCGCGCAGCGATTCTCCCGTGCTCATCCGCGCTCATCCCCCCGTGCTCATCCATGTGTTCAACATCGCTACACGAAGTACACGGTTGGATTTTCGACGAAATATCGAAGTTTCACGGTGGTGGTATCGATGTAAGAAGAGCCTCGGTCGGAAATACCATTCGAAGGCAGAGCTCCGAAAATGGACTCGAAGACCGATTTCTCGATGATCCCCGACGGCACCGTCAGCCGCTCGATCGAGATCGGTCTCCGCGTGATCGGCGTTTGGCCCGAGTCATCCTACACGGTCCTCCGTCGCGCCTTCTGGATGATCACCCTGACGATGGCGCAGACCTTTCAATATCGATATTTCGTGATACACGTCCGCACGGACGACCTGTCGCATCTGATGGATGGCCTTAGCACTACGATGTCCTATAGCCTCCTACTATTGAAACTCACGATATTCTGGATCAATCGACGGTAAGCTCCGCTTATCTATGGCGCGAAACGAACGATGAGAACGCAATCTTTTCGTGCTTTTCAGAAACGAGTTTAGATCTGATATATATATATTTTTTTTTTTCAAAATAAGACAAAACGAAAAAATTAATTCAGAAATATATGTATATCAAATAAAGGTAGGCTTTCGCAGTTGCATAATATTTAATCGTCGTACGTCGTGGTTTGAAGTACGCGAAGTATGTGAAGAATGTGAAAAAATGTCACATTCTTTTACGATCGTAAGAGAGTTCGAAAGGCACAAGTCTTCAAGTTTCCCCGCAGGATATTCCACCACATCCTGGCGATGATGGCTCGGGATCGGAGCGAGTGCGCGACCGAGTGGGCCGTCTGCTCGATGTCAAGGACGACCGATGTGTCGCATCGGTCTTCCAACCTGATCATCGGCCTCTATTCGATGTCGGTGTTCCTCTACGGCACCGGCGTACTCGTCGCCCACACCGACGAGTCCGACGACGAGCAGCTCGCGGTGCCGACGCGAGAGCTGTTTCTCAAGATGGAGCTACCCTTCGAGTCGAATGTCTCCCCCGCGTACGAGCTCGTCATGATCACGCAGTTTTTCCACCAGCTCGCGGCAGCCACGATAGTCGGTGTGCTTAACGCCCTAATTGTCTCATTGGTAAGTGAACGTGCTTCAAGATGACGAAGATGACTTGAAAAAACGCTTGATGAGTCACGGAAAGTAATGACTTCGCATTATCAGCTAAATAGCTAGTTCGAACTTTGCTGTCATTGCTAAAAATTAGTTATTAAAGATAAACTATATTTATTGCAAGATACAAGTTTATTAACTAAAATAAAAGCGTACTTTAACAGAAGTAGCTAAGAAAGTGGCATACGGAAAGAATAATTTTGCTGAAAAATTTAAAAGTTTTACTGGATATTTTTCAACAGAATTAGCTAAATGTTATTTGATACTAGCAAATATATATTTTTTGCTGTAACGTCTACACTTGAACAACTAATAAGTTTAGCTTTGGCAGTAACGATATTAGCTGTCCCTATTTTAAAGACACACATTAGCTATTACGGCTCTATTCTAGCTGCGTTGGCTAATTCTTTCTCTGAGTGTTGAAAAGTTCTAATCTTATAGGTTTTTGAACAGTATATATATCATAATGAGGCAACATATAATTGACATATAATTGGTGCTTTTGAGTTTTTCGATAAAAAAACAAAGAAATTTAAAAATTGTTCATTTTATTATTCAAAAAAGAGCAGATTGGATTCTAATTCTGAAACGTTTACAAATTAAATTAATATGTATCGCACGAAATGTATAGCTATATCACGTAATGGAGATGCATAATTTGTATAAGTAGCTTATTGTTAGTAGAATAATAAAATAATTTCAATTGGATATCTCGCGCCGCATTGTGTTCGAGGTAATGAGTATTCTGTATCATCCGCGCGATTAATAACTTACTTCATTTACTTCATTTATGCGTAATGAAAAGCGTTCTGGTGAGTCTGATCGATAACCGATAATATCGAGTTTAAGCGTCACTATATTTCTACCGTTAATTTCTCTGTTCTTTTATAATAAATTAAATCTAATATCGCCCAAAGGGATTTACAATTTTTTTTTGTTCTTTAGGCTTAAATATTACTTATGCATATTTCTTTATATAATATTACATTTAATCTCTTATTAAAATAAATTTGTAATTAATATTATATTATGTATTTTAATATAATATTAATTATTGTATATTAAATATAAGATTTTAATATATTCTAATATTAAAACATTAAACAATCAAGGGCAAATGAGCCAAAGGCAAGTTACTAGTAGCCAAAAACAATTCTATTTCAAATCGGATCCAATTTTTTTCCAAATAAATCCGATTTGAAATAGAATTGTTTTTGGCTACTAGTAACTTGCCTTTGGCTCATTTGCTCTTGATTGTTTAATGTTTTAATTTAATTTATTGAGCCTAAATCATTATTTATTTTGTTTATATTCTAATATATAATATTTAATATTCTAATGTATAATAGATTTTTGCTTATCTGATGTTGCTTCCTTTGTTGATAAACTTTTGTATTCACAAGTTATTCTCTGCACTGAATTGCGGCAATATCGAGAACACACTGCAGGGCGTTGACCGTTATTTTTAGATTCTTCACGTAGGTGGGCAAATCGATATAATGTGCCGAGGGTTGGTAGAAATCTCCTCAGACAACACGTTCGACTTGCAAACCTCGACCATCAAAGCTTTAATACGTCGACATCAGAGAATTATCGCGCTCTCAGCCGACATCGAGACTCTTTTCTCGTATATAGCTCTCATGCAATTCCTGTGGAACACTTTGGTCATCTGCTGTCTCGGATTTCTAATTGTGACCGTGAGTGATACTTCATGAAGTCAAACATGCACTGCAGTTAATATATATATGTAGTAATATATTACCGTTACGTAAAGAATTTTTATTTTAAATTGTCGACTCATCGATGCGCAATAAAACGAAATACCTCGTACGAGAGTATCCAAAATAATTGATATGGCGTTCAAGTGTGTGTCAGTTTAAAGCACTCTTATTTTGCTCGCTATTCAGGAAGTTTTACGTTTTGGTATTATTTCCGATCATGTTACAGTCGATCGGCGATACGCAAGGATCGACGATGTTGATTAAATCCCTCTTTTTTTACGTTGTCATCACTTTGGAGGCATTCATATTTTGTTATGCTGGAGAATATCTCAGTGCCAAGGTCAGAACGAAACAGTTACAAATATCTATTACCTTTATAAATTCTTTCTATTTATAATTATAAACAGCGAAACGAAGTTTTGATATAATTATTATAAGAAAAAAATTATATGTACGTTTTTTCTTATAATATTGTGTATAATATTATGTAAAATTATATATATTTATATATGTACAATTTCCACGTCAGTTGTAAATTCCATAACTTTCGGCATATAATTTTATTATTACAAATTTATTCTTTCAATATTTTAATTATCATTGAAAAAATATTTTTCAAAAAATATATCAGTAGGTACTTTAATAGAATATGCTCTTCTCAAGTTTAACGCTTGTATTTTTTAAATTACAATTCTACATGAATTTAATCATTCATTCGATTTCAGAGTAGAATGATCGGCGATGCAGCGTACGAAGCGAAGTGGTACAACTCGGATCCCACGAAGAGTCGTATTTTATTGCTGCTGATTTTAAGATCGCAAAGAAAGTTAACTATTACGATAGGAAAATTTATGGATCTCTCGCTAGAGCGTTTCACAACAGTAAGATGCGTTTTCATAACTATGCTTTCCTTTATTGTATCTGGTACAGGTTGTACGCACTTTGAAGGGAAATACACGTTGCCAATTTTTTGAATTTGACTTATAAATTACTAGGAGGAGCTTAAAATGTTATATGTTCTTACATATATGCAGATGTAAAGAGAATATCCTATCTTTTCTATTTTAAATGTTAATGTCAGTTTTATAGATAAAAGTACATCGTGTTTTAGTAGTTGCAACACAAAAAAAATACGACAAGCTCTACCTTCTTTCTTCTAGATTATTAAGGCATCAGCGTCTTATGTATCCGTGCTGCATGCTATGTCTTGAAAGCCGTGTGTAGTTGAAGAGGCAATACCCTCCGTGTGTTTATGTAGCCATTGTGTTATAAGAAACGCTACCGTATCTCGCGAATTTCTAGTAACTCATTAGCGTTCCACGAACGCCGCATGTAAAACAACATCAATATATCTGATTCGATAATAGCGTTGTACTTTTTATAGCTAAATGTCTCTATGTGCCGCTCGACTATGTCCTTCCCTGATCATTGCAAAACTTTCTCATCCCCGCTTTTCGAGTCATCCTTATGAATTTATCTTCCACAATTCCCGGCTCTTTGTCTCTTCTTGATATTGGAAAGTTTTAAGTATTCCACGCACGCACTTGATACCCACGTGTGTTCAGCGCACGTACACTCGCCTTGCATTTTTAATGCAAATAACGGACAGCGACTGGGCGACGCATGTACGAGGGTTATATTGGACGCGTTCACAGTTGCGCTTGCCCATTTTTTTTTTTTTGTAATTATCGAGAGACATCGTTTTACAGTTTATATTCATGACTTCTAAGATAAAAGAAAAAAATATGACGTGTAATGCGCGATGAATAATCACTACCTTGTGCACGGTCGAGGTAGGGTCGGCCGAGTGCTGAATCCGTAGAATTTTGCAGTTTCGCTGAGTCTTCTCGATCGACCATATCCGAGAACTGACTTAGAACTTCGATCATGCCGCAGTTGGAAATTTCACCTTCTAATCTATGACGCTCTTCGAAATCCAACGTTTCTTCTGTTCAATCTCGTTGTAACTCCAACAGAGAATATTTTAGTAATTTTAGTTGATTATTCGGGTTAAATAATTCGACGTTATCGTATCAAGTCCTTCTACATTATAGTCTTATCTGTAATATAAACAGAGAGAAGAAAATCAAACTGAGAATTAGACTGACAACACACGGTGTCGTTCATTTGAAGAACTGTCTTCGAGATTCGATGGAGAACGTGATAGATTCAATAACTACCGTGTGTCCCTCAGTGGAATACGGCCTCCGTTTGATCGGCGTATGGCCGGGAACGTCGTGCGCAATTTTACTTAAATTTCTCAGCATATTGTCGATGATCGTGTTTCAAATCTTTCAGTATCAACACGCGATCGTGCGCTTCGGCGTGGACGACCTAACGCTCCTCATGGACGCACTGAGCGTAACTTTCGCTTACACCCTTCTGCTTATCAAAATGCTTATTTTCGCGTTCAATTCTCGGTAAGCTTTTTCAACGCGACGTGTACCGAGCACAGAGTTAAATGCGATGCACAAACACTTCCCGCATCTTTTGTTCTCAATTGCAGATTACAAATCGTCAGGGTTGAGTAGTGCCTAGTTAAAAAGATAAAAGTTAAGTTACAAAGTTAAATGGTTTTACTTAATTTAACTTAATTTAGTTACATTTTATTGATAACTATTAACCTTTGATTTAACTTGCTTAAAAGTTACATTTTTAGTGCTTCTTATGTCAACTAAAAAAAAAATATATATCGGCGTTTATGTCTTCAAACTCGAATTTGAAAACGCATATCAAGGCAAGTTGTATAGTAAATGTAGTCTGGCCGCGGGAAGGAATCGATATTCGTAGACCTTCTATACATTGAATCATGTTGTAAGAAGTTCCTCGAAATCGATTTTCTTTCTGCGGTTCGACGGAAATAAGTATAACAAATATACACTTTATTTGGAAACCCTGAAATTATGAAATAAAGAAAACTTAACTTTTAACTTTTTAATTACTTTTTTATCAACTTAACTTTTAATTTAATTAATTTTATTATGAATTAACTTGTATCTTAATTAACTTAAATTTTTTAAAACTATTAACTTTAACTGAGCTTAGTTAAAAAAAAATTAACTTACCCAACCCTATAAAGTGCACTAAGAAAATTTATTTTGATTTTTATAAATACTACCATTAATTTATGTAACATCTTGCGAAATAAATCTCTCTCGAAACAAAGACATCTCTGGGTTTTGCGTAACCACGTCGGTCAATATTTTTTATAATAATCCATTATAGTCTGCTGAACGAAATCATAGCGCGCATGGCCAAGGACTGGAAGGAATGCGATATTTCGGATGGATACACGATGACCAGAATAGCTTACGTATGTCGTTGGGTCTGCAACGTCATAATCTTCTCGCACATGATGTCAGTATTCCTCTACGCGGTAGGCACATTAATGAAGATCAAAAACGAAAATCAAACTGAAGCTCGAGAGCTTCTTATCAAGATGGAAATACCCTTCGCGATTGAGAGCACATCGGTGCATGTAGCTGTGCTCATTACACAATTTATTCATCAGGTGACTGCGGCTGCTATGGTGGGCGTAGTAAATTCTTTGCTGATAATATTGGTAAGTTTGAGCGTTTGTTCGTGATTTGCCAGCGTTCCTGGAAATGAAAATAATTACTATAAGACATAATATATTTTATGTATAATAAAAAAATAGATATATCGATTATACAAATTTAATTCTTTGTAAAATAAAGTTATACAAGCAGACGCAAAAAAAAAGAGGCATACACTCTTTCATTTTTGCTTGATTTATTAATTCAGATCCAGACTAAGCAAACGAGTGCAAACAAACACAAATGATCGTCATCAGTTCGCACTCATTGAAGCAACTTGTTCATTCACGTTTGTTTACGCTCGTTTGCTCTGAATCCAGATTAAGACGTTTTACTCTGAATCCAGATTAAGACGTTAAATTGGACTGAAAACATACATCGCGATGTTTAGGTTCTTCACGTGTGCGGACAGATTGATATAATGCGGCAGAAATTGAGTGAAATTACGCAGAAGAACATCGAGCGGAAGAACATCGGGCAGGGTGTGCGCGAGAACGTCGTGAAAACGCTGATCGTTCGGCACCAGCAGATTATCACCTTCTCCAAGAACATCGAGGCTCTCTACTCGAATATCGCGCTGATACAATTTGGAACGAACACTCTGGTTATCTGCTGTTTAGGATT